CCGCTGCTTTCCCAGGCAATTAAGAGTTGAGGGGCCGGTACTGTGGTGCAGCAGGTTAACGCCCTGGCGTGAAGTGCCAGCATCCCATTTGGGCGCTGGTTCTAGTCCCTATCCAGCCCTCTGCTATGGCCTGGGATATCAGTAGAAGATGGCCCAAGTCCTTGGGCCCCTGCACCCTCGTGGGAGACCCAGAAGAAGCTCCTGGCTTCAGATCGGCGCAGCTCTGGCTGCTGGAGGCCATCTGGGGAGTGAAGCAGCATATGGAAGACCTCTCTGTCTCTCTGTCTCTCTCTGTAACTCTTTCAAATAAATAAAATCTTTAAAAAAAAAAAGTTGAATTGGAAATGAGACAGAAACTGGTGCCATATGGGATGGTGTTGCACCCAGCCACTTTACTCCCAAGATGGCGGCATGTTAACCACTAGGCTAAATACCTACTTCCCTGGGGCCGGCGCTGTGGCTTAGAGGGTAAAGCAGTGCTGGCATTCCATATGGGCGCAGGTTCCAGTCCCGGCTGCTCCACTTCTGATCCAGCTCCCTGCTATGGCCTGGGAAAGCAGTAGAGCATGCATGGCCCAAGTCCTTGGGCCCTTGCACCCGCATGGGAGACCTGGAAGAAGCTCCTGGCTCCTGGCTCCAGATCTGCTCAGCTCCAGCCTTTGCAGCCATTTCAGGAGTGAACCAGTGGATGGAAAGACACTCTCTCCCCAATCCCCCCCACCCCCCGGCACTTTCACTTTGCCTTTCAAATCAATAAATAAATCTTTTAAAAAAAAGAAACCTACTTCCCTCCCCCTTTATAAGGCATTTTAAATTTTCCTTTTTTTTAGAGGCAGGTGGTATCATCAATGATCTTAGCTAGATCTTCTAGATAACTTGTGTGAAGCTCTGCCATCAGCATTTGCTGCTTCACCCTGCACTATTATGTTTTGGTTGTGGCATCTTTCCTTAAACCTCAAGAAGCAACCTCTGCTACTTTAATTGTTTTTCTTTTGCAGCACCCTTATCTCTTTGACTTCATAGTCAGGAAGACAATTAGGGCCTTTTTCTGGATTGGGCTTTGGCCTAAGGGAATGCTGTGGCTAATAAATCTCTTGCATGAACCACTAAAACTTCCTCCTGAACAGCAATAAGGCCAGTTTGTTTATTTCTTTTTTAAATATTTATCTAGTTGAAATAAATTATGCAAAAGAGGGAGAGGCAGAGATTTTCCAAGCAATGGTTCACTTCGAAAGTGGCTACAACAGCCAAGACTGGGCCAGGCACTTCATCTTGGTCTCCCACATGGGCGGCAGGGGCCCAAATTTGGACCATCTTCTGCTGCTTTCCCAGGCTATAAGCAGAGAACTGGATCATAAGAGGACCAGCTGGGACAGCAACCAGCACCGATATGGCATGCCAGAGCCAGTGTAGCAGGTACACCACTATGCTGACCCCAAGACTACTTCATTTCTGTGTTCACTGGGTGGCACATGAATGTCCTTCATGAACTTTTCCATTGCATTCAGAAGTAGGCTGACTATCTGCCTGCCACAAAAGGCATAGTTTTTGACCTATCCTAGCATTGAACATACCTCCCTCACTAAGCTTAATCAGTTCTAGCTTTGGATGTAAAGTGAGACATGCAACCCTTCCTTTCACCTGAATACTGAGGGCCACTGTAGGGCTATTAATTGGCCTAATTTCAATACTGTTGTGTCATAGGAAATAGAGAGGCCCAAGGTCAGTTGAGCAGTTAGAACATAGACAACATTTATTAAATTCTTTGTCTTAATGGGTGTCATTTGTGGCATCTCCAAATAATTACAATGGTAACATCAAGATCACTGATCACAGATTACTATAACAGACATAATAATGAAAAAGTTTGAAATATTGAAGAATTACAAAAAATATGACATAGACACAAAATGAGCACACGCTGTTGGAAAAATGTCAATAGACTTGCTGCATGCTGAGTTGCCAATACCTTGCAATCTGTAAACAATGCAATCTCTGTAAAGCACAATAAAATGAGGTATGTCTGTATAAAGAAACCTAGTTTCTATTTTGTATTAAAGTCTTTTATATAATTTTTAAAAATATTTAATTGAATGGGAGACAGACAGAGAGAGGAACAGACAGATTGTTCATCTGGTTCATTCCCCCAAATGGCTGCAACAGCCAGGTGTAGGCCAGTCCAAAGCTAAGAGCCAGAAATTCCATCCTGGTTTCCCATATGGGTGGCAAGGGCCCAAGTACTTGGACCATCTTTTGCTGCTTTCTCAGGTGCATCAGCAGTAAGCTGGATTGGAAACAGAGCAGCAGGGCCTTGAACTGGCACTCTATGGGATGCTGACATCACAAGCAGTGGCTTAATCCACTATGTCACAACAACAGCCCCTGTATTCATCTTATGGAACAAGGTAGCTATTTGACATCTAAACCTCTTGGATGATTTGGACAGCAGATACTGTGTAAGACAATATAACCTGTAAAACTTACCCAGTATTTTTTTCTTCAACTAGTTTTTCTGGAGATACACTGAAAACCATTACAAATTAAAGATAAATGCCTATAGTGATTATAATGACAAGTATCATGTAAGCAGCATTGTAATGTCTCATATTCTGAAGCAGAATTTGACTATTTCTAAGTCTTAGTTGATAAAAATTCTGGTTATCAGAGGCATGCTGTTTAAGCTTTGTAGTTCTCCCTACTAGCCTAAGAACAAACACTCCGAGGTTGAACATACTGATGATAACCTGCACTAGTTTTCATCTGTGCACAGTTATGGGGTGGGACAAGGACATAAAGGTAACACATTTCCACAGTCCTGGAAAGCTACTGAGATGATGATAGTGTGAGGGCATTTGTAACCATACAACTATTCTAAAAGGGAATACACTTGAATAACCTTGAGAAAACGAGTCTGATTCTTTCATCTGTTAATGGGAGGGCAATACTTGTTTTGTTAATTGGTGGTGAAAATTAAAGGACAGAATTTGCCAAGTGTTTACTTACTTCCTTGCTTGATTTATTATAGGCATCATATGTTAGCTTTTGCTCCTGGAATTAAAAGTCAAAAGAATAGAAACCTGTGTGCTAGGTGACCCCAACTGTTTCACACCGTCCTCACTACTTCTTTGTGCTTCTCTAATTCAGAGCCGTGCATAGGCACCTGGGAGGAAGAGTTTCATGAGAGGTCTAGGCAAGCTATTGGGGGAGGTAGGTGGGCATCAAAAACAAACTTCGTCCTGGCTATTTGCCAAGGACTAGTAGTTCAAAACCATGTAACAGATCGCCTATTCTTGATCTAAGTGAACTGATCTTGATCTAACTAAATCCATGATTGTAGCATGTACACAGAAGATAGTGGTACTATAGTTGCCTTGTAGAAAAATAAAATATAAATGGCTGACTTGGAATACAGGGCAAATGAAATGAGAGTAAAACACTTAAGTATAAGATAAATCCTCTTGGGGCCTGCGTTGTGGTGTAGTGGATTAAGCCGCAGCCTGCAGCACCAGCATCCCATATGGGCGCTGGTTCACGATCTGGCTGTTCCACCTCTGGTCCAGCTCCCTGCTAATACGGCTGGGAAAGTGGCAGAAAATGACCCAAGTCCCTGGACTCCCGCCACCCATGTGGGAGACCCAGAAATTCCTGGCTTCCATGTGGCCCAGTTCCTGTTGTGGCCATTAGGGGAGTGAATCAACAGATAGAAGATCTCTGTCTCTCCTCTCACTCTGTAACTCTGCCTTTCAAATAAATAAATAACCAAAAGAAAAAGACAAGGAACTGGATTGGAAGTAGAGCAACCAGGACATGAACTGGTGCCTATATGGAATGCCAGCATCACAGGTGGCAGCTTTACCCACTATGCCACAATCCTGGACCCTTGATTGACCGCAAATCTGTTGTCCAAACCAGAGTAAGTTGCATGTCAGAATCCTTTTTCTTTCTTTCTTAAGGCACAATGTGTTTATTCTTACAAACACCATTAGTAAATATTTTTATGATTTAAAGGAAATGTCCTATCACTAAGAACAAACCTAGGAAGGTATTTTCCTGCAATACTAATATTTACTCCATTTGTTCCCACCTGTAAGCATAATTTCTATCTTCGTTCATTAATATTTTAATATATTCTAACTACTGAGGCACACATCAATGACAACTTATGGTGCCAATTCAAATGTTTATTTGGTATGACAGTGTACCAAATTACAGTGTTACTTTCTTGGAACCCGTTGGGTTCTATTAAAATTGATTGATCCTTATGTGTAAATAGGTTGATTGTTGCATTGCCTTTTACGTGTAGTTTTTATTCATTTTTTCTCTTCCTTCTTTGTTGTTAGCATTGTCTGAGGGAGGAAGAGACCCGTTCTACCCTTCCTCTTAGCAATCTCATTCAGAATTTTTGCTTTTGCTTGGTTTAAGGCCTAGCTCAGGGGTCAGCAAACTACTAATCACATGGGCCATATCAAGCCCATCATGTTCTTGTGTGGTCTGTAAGGCAAGAATGGTTTTTATAGTTTTAAAAATTGAAAGAATATTTTATTATATAGGAAAATTACATATTATAAATTCATGTCCAAAAAAGTTTTATTGGAACATAGCCCATGGTCTATGCTTTCTCTGCCACAAGGGCAGAGTTAAATAGCTGCAACAGAAGCCACATGGCCCTCTATAGAATAATTTTTCTGACTCCTGGCCTAGTTGACTGCACATGGCACTTTCTCTTCTTTTCCTATACTTAAATAATACTTGCATGAATAGTTTTTCCTGAGCTACAAAATCCTTCTTGCTGGTTTCTTAGAGATGAAAGCTTTCTTCTATGTGAATTTATTTAGTGATATATTCCAGAGGCCAAATGTTTCGATCTCCCAAATGAATTAGAAATATCTGATCAAGCCAGAACATTTTAGTTCCCAATACTAACTCTCTTTTTCAATTCTATTTTCAGATACCCAGTATACTAGTGTATTACCAATTGTAAGATAGGAAAACATTTGGAATTGATTTTTTTTTTTATTTAGCTATTTAGTTTCAAATGCCCAGAAAGGATCCAAGCTGGTGGTGTGGCTGAAATTTATGTTGTCTGTCATTATGTTGTCTTGTCATCATGAGAACTAGACCAAAATGCTGTATCAAAGCAATCTTGTGCTAATTGGCCAGAAATCACTTTTTTGTTTGTTAAATCTTTTTGAAAACAAAATCCCACATAAAGATCTCCCAGAGCTTAAAAGTGAGAGTTGTACAGGGCAAGAACAACCATTTTGCTTTAAGGTTATACACTTCAGTCTCTGAGTGTTTTTAAGTACTGCCACCTGTGCTTCACTGGGATTGGTTAAGTACGTTAGTAGGGTGACCACGTGATCTCTCAAACCAAGACACTTGTACCAGTGACAGGGGTGCGAATTCCCTGAAATCTCAGGACAAGGGCACAGACTGGGCCTCTCCTTACTGAACTAGAATATAAGGAAGAGGTAAGCTTCTGCTGCTTTAACATACCACCTCTACTAATTTGTCTCAAACAGAGGGCAGACCTAACAGTGAACTTGGCCTAGGTTAAAAGTCTGTCAAACTCAAGACTCTTTCTGAATGTAAACGTGAAGCGGTACCCTGAACTATTTCAATAACTATACATTGTTTTCCTTCAAAATTTAGAAGCACAAATAGTCATTTACTTTGGTCATAACAGACCACGATCTAAAAATCCAAATATGTAGATTTAATACTGTATTAATGACTTAAAATACCGACCACATACAATAGATTATTTATTCAAGAGTCGTGTAGAAAAATGAGGTCCAAATCAAACTTTATTTACATAGGTATAGAAGGACAGCAACAATTCCAACACTGAATAATCAAGCTTTGGATCGACCAGGAGTCCATCATTCACCAATCTCGACTTATGGAAGCAGGGTAAAACTATGTGTGATACTTCCCCATAGTTCTCTGGTATCCTTGAAGCTTGCAAAGATTCAGAACACTTTAATGATAGCTTGTTGGACAGCAACAGAAACGAGATGATGTACTCAGAAGTCAGTCTCTCACAAAAAAGACGTTATATCCAAGTTCTGTTAAAGCCCCAGCCAATAAGGCCCACAAAGGAATGAAGACATAGGACAGATTCATGGTAGTAAACTGTTCCAGTTTAGCACAGAGTGCAAGGCAGAAGGCTAATTTAAGTAACATTGCAATGAGGTACCATGCTTTTTTTTTAATATTGTGTGATCCATGTCGAGGGTCAAAGCCAGACTTACACCGCCCAGCCATTTTCACAATCAGCATGACAAGGAGGATTGTGTCAAATATCCAGACTGGAATAAATATGAGGAACCAGTTCCAAGGTGCTTTCTCATCCAGTTTCAACACCAACATGATCAAGAAGAGTAATGTGAAAAGCCAGGTGAGTAGTACTCTCTGAGCCAAGGACATTCTCATTTAAACAGTTTAAAGAGGCTGTTGCAGGGTCGAAAAAAGGGAAATACACCCTAAGAAAAGGAGAGAAAGTCGATTGTTTTGATACCAGAAAGAAAAAAACGCTAGTTCTATTCCTAGTTAGCCCTTTCCCGCCCACAGACTTCCTGATTTTGAAAACATTCTACCATTCATCCTTTCAAAAACTCATACCAACCACTGACAACATCATATCCATTATTCCCTATGACACATGGCTAAGTGTAATAAAAGTTTTGGTATGTCCACTGGGTATAAACTGTATTCAAAATATCTCAAGGAACATCCCGTTCCTTTCTGAAGCTTTTACTCAAGTTCTGGCATTCAAGGCTTTATTTCTGTACCTCAGGGATGTTCTTCCCCTCCCTAAACATTTGCAAGGGGGCCTCATGAAAAGCACTGAAAATCAACTAGTGAAAAAGGAGGTAGTAATCCAAGCCAAGCCAAGAGAGTTTTATAAGGAGGGAATGGTTAATAAAAATTGCAATATCAAGCAGAATTAACACCGTACAGAAGTCATCAAGCTAACTAATCTAAAAGGCACTGATAACCTTATATCTTCAAATAATCTATGGATGTTGAACTTTTAAATTCTCAGGTATTTTCTCTCAAAAATAGACCATTCAAAACCTTAAAGATGTTTGTGCTTATTAGATGCTAAACTATGCTATAGTTGGTGTTACTTCTTATAACTATTCTGTCTCACTCATCTATAAATGTTTTGCAGTAACACTATATGACTATTTGTTGCTCTGCTGTATGTCTTAATATCTAGAAGGGCTAGTACATACTCACTATTTTCTTTTCCAGAATATTTTCTGTTTTGCTTTTTTATGATTTTTTTAATGCTATCATGACTAAGTTCTTAAAAACTCGGAATCTGAGGATGCATTAGCTCGGTATGAACATTTACATTTAATCTTCACATGGAAGTTTACAGTATGCCTCTACATTCACGTTCCTGGGAAATCAGAAGGCAGACTGCATGCAGTTGCACAAGGAGTTAACAGAAGATAAAATGGAAACAGCGGAGAACATTTTATTCTTTTCAGACACTTGGAGAAAATGAAAGATGAGAGATAAGACTGAGAAAAGAGACAGGAAGAAATTTTCAGGAAAGGAGAAATCTGAGTACAATTAGACTAGAAAACACTGAGGAATGCTAACCTAAAGACAGTATCCTTGACAGGAAGAGCCAAAGATCAGAGGGTGGTAGGGACAGGACCTCAAAAAGGTGGATGGCAGGAGTAGAAATAAAGATGCAAGAAGATAAGGAAAAAGAAAAGATGAGGAAACTGGCTACAGGAACAAAATACCCTGGCTAGTGTGTTCCATCAATTACATGTTAGTGCTAAGTTTGATGTATTTTGCAACATCTCTACTACATTACATAGTAGGCAGCTATAACAGTGCAGGAGTACACATCTGTTTTGTTTCAATAGTTAGGTATGAGTCTCCTAACTCACCTCTTTCCCCTTATATCCAACCTAGTTGCATTGAGTTTGTTTACTTAGTTGGCAGATGCTTTACGCAAAAGTGCTTTTGCTCTCTGGGAAAGGCAGTTTCTGCGCTGGTCCCCTTTCCTGGCCAGAGGCTGCCATGTTGGCATGTGGGTTTGAATTTGCAAAGGAGAGGTGGAGGTGTTTGTGCCACATTAACAACTGTGGTCCGATTTCATCCTGTAAATTTATGTAATCCTGATCTCCAACTTATCTGGTCGCTTTTGTGAACTTTCAAGAAAAGGTCTGCCAGAATACCCTCGCTTGAACAACTTTTCCATCTGTGATGGGATGAGACAAGCTTCATTTTTTTCTCATGGAGGACCTAGCAGCAACCGGTCATAGAAAGGATGGTTGCACTCACCAGAGGCACTTTAGTGGTGAAAAAAAATGCAAAGGACATAATCTTGCTGTGGCTACAGTCATGACAATGTGGGATGCCGCAGAGTTCTGTGATGCACTTGCATGAAAATACCCTCAACATCAGCTGCGGCTTGGTCTCGGTGGGGTGCGGACTCCAGGGATCCGCGCTTGGCGCTTCCCACGCCCACTTCCCTTCTCTAGCCACTGCCCAGGGACTCGCCCCACCCCGAAGGCCGGTTCTCCCTCACGAGCCAGCAAACGAGTCGCTTCCGGAGGGCCCGCGCTGCAGCCGCCCGGGCCGACGCACTCATCCTTACCTGTCCTGGGCACTCCAGGACGCTCCTCCACTATGCCTGCCCTTGGCCTGCCCCCGCCGCCCGGTCGGGACTCCCACCCCTCTCGGAACTCTTACCCCACCCCAGAGCGTGCTGTGGGCCCGGTCCACGGTGGACCTTACCGCGCGAGGCACACGGACGCCCTGGTGATGGGCAAGGCTGGGAGTGTGACGGGCCGGAGGGTCGGCCGCCCACAGAGGCAGCGGGGTGGGGGCTGAGGGGGACAGCGCCGCGGCGCCCTGCGGGCCAGGGCCGAGCTCCGGACTCACCTGGCAGCACCGCCGGTCGGAGAGCGGAGAGGGCCGCGAAGATGAGGAAGGGCGCCAGCTTGGATCCTTGTCCTTTTCCACGCTTTCCCCCCCATGAAATCCTGAACCCGTCACATGATAATTAAGAATAAGATTCAGTTCCGCCTCTATAAACCACCACGGTAGAAGCTCGCCGAATGCTACCTCGAGGCCACGCCCATATCCGGGGCTGGTTCTCACCGCCCCTGGGCCTACCCTAGAAGGCGGGGAGGACGCCAATCTAGGTACAGAAGCCGCTTTCCCTGCGGTAATTGGACGACTTGGCCGCCAGTGAAAAACCAACCGACCTTTCCTCTCATTCAGTTTCGACAGAAAGGCGGCAGTAAGAGAACCCTTGGGGCCCGCCTCCTCTACTGCTACAGGGTAGCAGGAAAGTCAGTCTAAGCTCAGCCTAGTGTCTCCGTGGTCCCATTGGGCGCACAGATGCCAATCAGAGCAGACAGTGCTCGGCCCCGCCCCCTGCGGAGGAGCCCCGCCTCTCCACGCGCCCTCCCCGCCAGAGCGCGGGGACTGCAGGCTCCAGCGCAAAATCCTGCGGGAGAGGGGGTGGGGCGACGCTCTGGAAGCCGCGCGCCCGCTCGCAGCCTCGTTGTAGCACCTCAGGCTCCCGCGGCGGTGGCGGCGCTCGCCTCGGTGTCTCCCGCGCGCACTCCAGCCGCCTCCTAGCGGTGCGGCGCCCGCTTCTACGGTAAGAGCGGCATCCCCTCCGCGCCTGGGCGGGCCGGGCCGTGGTGTGGCGATCGCAGGGTTCGGACGGAATCCCGAGGATGGAGCCGGATGAGGGAGGCGAGCCGCCGGTGGGATGGAGGTGGGCGCTCTGGAGCCGGCGCGTCGCCCTCCGCCGCCCGCGCGTCGCCCTCCGCCGCCGGTGACTTACTTGGCAGCGTCCGGCACCTGCGGGCCCGGCTCCCCCGCGGCCGCCTCGCATCTTTTGGCGGGTGGCGGAGGCTCAGCTTCCCTTCTGCGGAGCCCGCACGGGGCTCGATCCTCGGCGGTGACGGGCCGAAGCCGCCCCTCGGGCAGGCCCCTCTCCCTCGCTTCCTTCGCTCGGCGCGGGGCTGGGGGGCCCTTCGCGTCCCGGAGGGCGTGCGCGGGCGTCGGGGCTAGCAGGCGGGGGCGCGCGCGGGGCGCGGGCTGTGAGGGAGGGTCGCAGCCCTGCACCCGCTGCGCCCGCCACCCTGGAGTTTGCCCATCCCGCTGCCGGCTGCCGACTGCCGAGCGGGTGCTGACTTTGGACGCGCGGGCCCCGGGGGTGTTTCCCGGCTGCAAACAATACCCTGGTCCGTCAGCACGCTTCACCTTTCTTGTCCGCCCGATCCTTGACGGCCAGGGTTCTGTATTGTTCCTTCGAGTCGTGGCTTTCCAACTCGGCAGCTCCTTGTGCTAACTTCAGGCATCATTCTGCCACTGATCTGTCACTCTGCTTGTCTTTAGCCTGGGAATAACCAGGAACTGCTTTGTAGGAACATAGGCTACCCAGGGAAATAAAGAATCTGGAAAATTTTATGTATCTCAGTCATGTGCTTTACATGCCCAAGGACTTCTAAATTCATGGTGCGTGTATTAAATATTTTGTAACTTACACTTGCTGTCTTTGTTCTTGGTGTCTTCTGCTTAGAGATTATACTTTATGTGTGATGCTGCGGTTTTCTAGTTTTTGGTTAGCTTTTGCCAAACATTTTTAGGCGTTGCTTTCCTTTTTTCCTTCTTCTGAGACTTTGCTTATATACTTAATGTTTGATTCTGTTTTTAGATATTTTTGTACAATGTGTTGTCTGCAAAACTGGACTTTTTTTCAAACAGTTTTTTAGTATTAGAAGAGGAATTCTGAGAATGTGGAAACTGTACTTTAGTCTAAAGAGCCATAAAGTGGCATGCAGATTTTAAATCCTGACTTGGATTTGGAGTACAGACTGCTAAGTGTAAGAGAAACGGGTCTGTCTTGTCAATTGTAGTAGCTCAGCCTCCAGACTCCGGAGGAAAGGAATGTGGGAGTCTGGGGAGAATGAGCCATGTCTGGGACCAGAAACAAGGGAATTCCTGGAAAATTTTGTGCTCTGGAAATAGCCTGCCTCCCACCCAGGTTACAGTTGTCCGTGTGCGTCAGATAGGATTTTTAGATGTGAGTGAGGCGGGCAGTGTCTGCGTTCTAGTTTTCACCACTTGATAGTAGAGCATGAAAATGCAACGTGTAAATCAAGTGTAGCTCGCAGTGGGTTCACTCTTGCACAATGAAACCTCCAAGAGTGAACTATTTGTGAGCCCAAATTGGCACTGGATAGTTGGTTCTAAAAATAAAGGAGGTAGTCTGAGCAATTTTAAAGTCATGAGCCTTTTTGGCTCGTCCATTTAACGCAAAATAACAAGAAATTTGTAATGAAAAAAGGCTTTGTTGGACTGAGTCAGAGAGAATTTAGGGTGGCATGTGGAAAAATTGAGGATCAAAAAATAGTTGGACTGCTTATGAATTATCTCATTTAATCTTTATAATCCTATGAGGTGGAAGTACTGTGATTGTTGCCCACAATATTTTATAGATGAGTTAATCAAGTCTTAGGTTAACTCATTTGTTCGAGATTTCAATGCTAATAATAATTCATGGAGGCGGGTTCACATCCATGCCATCTAAGTCCAAAGCCACTGTGGTTTATTACCCCAGTAAAATTGGCTTCTGAAAGACTTAATAGGAGACTAATCAGTGGAAAATAATGCTGCAAAGCCATAAACTGAATCCAGACTTGTATCTAGTAACACTTTGGGGTCATAGTGTACTAGGTACCACTGAGTGTTGTTGAAGATGTGGGAATGGAGTCACCTTCCTTGACTTTGGGAAGTGTCATTTGAACAAATGATGATAACACAGTATATGATATAAGCATAGAAACTATAGTTTAATGGAAAGAGAATTCAAAGAATTACAGAAGACAAGAGTGAATTCCTGTTGGGTTTTGTGACTTGAACATGATACCAAATGTCTTTTAGCATCAGTTTCTTATTTGTTTAATGGAGAGGATAAGGCTCCAAGGGGACAGTAAGCATTAAATAAAATAAAGTGCTGGCACATAGTAAACACTGAGTAAATAAGAAGGAGCAAATAATTTCAGGTGGCACTGGGCTGAGAGGTTTAGGAGTGGAGTTACCGCTCAAGCCCTAAAGGCTCAAAGGTGGTTTCGATAGAAGGGGAAGGAGGGCATTTGGCACAGAGCAGGAGAAGGCAGAGTCTTCTTACAGGAATATGGATTGTTAAGGGGATCGTAAGAGCTTTCTATAAAAAGTGTTTGCAAAGGCCAACCTTAAATGGTAATTGTATATAGATGTGGCTGGGCAAAGTGAATATTACCCAATTTTGGTGGTTGGACATTACATGCTTAAATAATAAAACTGTAGGAAAACCTCGACCATTTTCCATTGTTACTTTCAAAAAATTTTTTTTACTTTCCAACATTTTCCTAGTGCCATTAAAAAATCTTTATTTCCAAATGTGTCCAGCTAAGCAATTGTTTCATTGAGAGATTTCATTGTAAGCTGTAAAAGTAGACTGACAAACATTCCTGGAGGCATTGGCATTTGATTTGTGGAAGAGATTTAGGGTTACCTGTCATTGTGCTTCTTCTACCCTTTGACCCCTTTACCTCGTCTGTTTCCACAGAGTCAATATCGGAAACTCCCCTTTCCCTATATTCTGCTCTTTTTTTCTGTGTGTGTGTTTTTTTTTAATCTGTTTGTTTAAAGGGAGACAGACAGAAATAGGCTGTGAGAGAGATTTTCCATCAGCTGGTTGGGGCTGGGCCAGGCTGAAGCCAGGAGCTCGGAACTGCATCCAGGTCTTCCATGTGCGTGGCAGGAACCAAAGTACTTGAGCTATCACCTGCTTCCTCCCCATCACCACCCCTACCCCGTACACTTTAGCAGGAAGCTGGATCCACAGTGGAGCAGGGACTGCAGCCAAGACACTCTAATAGGGGTTGCAATTGTCCCAAGCAGCATCTTAATTGCTGTGTCACAGTGCTCACTGACAGACTTTTTTTTTTTTTTTTAAGATTTATTTATTTATTTGAAAGAGTTACACAGAGAGAAGGAGAGGCAGAGTGAGAGAGAGTTCACTCCCCAGTTGGCCGCAACTGCTAGAGCTGTGCCCGTCTTCCTCTGGGTCTCCCACATGGGTGCAGGGGCCCAAGGACTTGCACCATCTTCTGCTTTCCCAGGCCACAGCAGAGAGCTGGATTGGAAGTGGAGCAGCCGGCACCCAAACCGGCACCCATATGGGATGCTGGTACTGCAGGCAGCAGCTTTACCCACTACACCACAGCGCCAGCCCCTGACAGTCTTTTCTTAACTCCAACTTGGGATGTGGCAGTGGGAAATGTGTTTTAATTCCGGACTGTCCTTGCAAATCTGAGGGGAAAAAATCCCATGCTTCTGTCTCAGCTTAAAACAGAACTGGAAATGCTCACAATTGAATTTACCAATGTGGAGCATCCCTTGATGACCAGAAGCCTATGACTAAGTTGGAAATATTAATTGACATTTAGGAAAGCTGTGTGTTTGTTTCAGTTTGTTAGGCTCAGTCAGATTGCTGAAGTGACACCCAATATAGAGGTGAGTTTTCAGATGAGAACGACTGACTGCTTAATAGAACAGGTAGTTTTAAAGCACTAGGAAAGAAAATATGGAGGACTTCACCCTGAGCAAGGAACAGGAACTAGGGCAGGAAATAGCTGTGGCTGAACCACTACCTGATAATAATCATAACATGCTTCAATTTAACATTTAATGAAAGGAAGTAAAAAAAAAAAGTGCATAGTATGCAGCTTTCCAGTTTCAGTAAGGAAAGGGGCTGCTAAAACGTTATCTTTAGAAATTTTGAAGACCTTGCAGTCAGCACTTGTATTTGTTGTACAAATGGTAGTACCTTAGTGAAACATTCAGTATGGGGTTTCTTACAGAAAGCCAAAACGCAAGTTTTGTTACACAGTTAGAGTCTCAATTCTGCCATCAACTACTTGTGTGACTTTAGACTCATGTGATTTTTTTTGAGGTTCAGTTTTCATAAAAAGATATTTCTTTGCAAAATTTTAAGAATTAAATGAAATAATGTGTGTCAAGTACCTGACAGTTCTTTGCCTGTAAGACTTGCTTAAAAAAATGGTTACTGCAAATATTGGCCTATGTTGAACAGGTCTTCTTTTTTATATGCAGCTCTTCAGTAAAATGAGGAAAATCAGAAAATGGCAAACAAGCAAAAAACACTTTACAAGGAGGCAATAATGATAAATAGCTAACAGGCTGGGTTCAATAAAGAATCATTATAGCCACATATAAAAGAAAGGCAAATGCTTTCTTATTATCGGTTTTTTTTCCTGAGGAAAAGTTAACATTGAAATTGGGTCCCAGTGTGGTGAATTAAGGGTATGAGAAAGGGATTCATTTTCTCAAATCTCTTAACCATCTTCTGATGGTTATAGGGGCCGGGGCTGTGGCATAGCAGGTTAGAGCTGTGGCCTGAAGCGTCGGCATCCCATATGGGTGCCGATTCTAATCCTGGCTGCTCCTATTCCGATCCGGCTCTCTGCTGTGGCCTGGGAAAGCAGTGGAAGATGGCTCAAGTCCTTGGGCCCCTGCACCCACGTCAGGGACACAGAGGAAGCTCCTGGCTCCTGGCTTCAGATTGGTGCAGCTCCGGCCATT